TACAACTGCAGTCAGCCGTCTGAACTTACCGTCTCGGAATTCTTACCTTCTCATGAATCCTCTGCATGAGAAGTAAACTATCGGAAAAATGGAGGGGTTGAAAAATATTGTTGAACTGTTCTCAAGTTCAAATTTTTAGACAGAGTGTTTCAAGTGATATATCGGTGGAGAATTCAATTCATTTTTTGAGGTATTCCTCCATTCTTGCTTATGTTTTGTTTTGTTTTAAAGTCTACAGACCCTTTAGTTTTCTGTTGTGTTTACAGGCCCGGTGTGAGGCTTGAAGCACGAGGCTGAGACTGCGTGTGAGTGCGTCACACACTTGGCAAGAGAGAAAGAGAGCGAATACCTCTGAGAAAGAAATTTGTCAGAAAGATGAAAGATGTCAAACCAAAGTGTTTGCACACACTACAGCTCCACATTGACAGTATGAAAGCCTGAGTCCAGACTCCCCCAGGTAATCACCAAATCACCGTTGCAAATTATTCATTCCACAAAAAAAAACCCATTTCACATATCTCGCACATCTCCTGTCTTAATTTCCACTGCTCGGCGCTGCTTAAAAAGCCAGATAACCTCTTGGCATTGTGACTTTATTCACTTTAAGAAAACCACCGCTGCATTTCAGCATGTCCGGTAGCCACCCCCCCATCCCATCTTCAAATACATCCCAATCATAATGCCCGCCCTCCAAGAACTCAGGGAACATCTCATGCTCGGCTAACAAATGAAGCTAGGGGAAAGGATCACTGGAAACAAAATTCTAACTTGATTTGAATGTTGTAGTGCCATCTACCTCCACTAGAGGGGGACTGTAATCATTACAACAAATAGGTTTTTGCAAATTGTTCCGTCTGGCAAATACTAAAGATGACCGAGACTTTATTTCACACTGTGGTGGAGTCTCTGAACCGCGAACAATCTAGCAGTGGAACAAATAAAATTTCAAAATGTAATCTGGTCCGACGCTGCAGCAAGAATGACTTGATTTGTATTCGCAGTGATGAAAGATTGAGGTCATTTGTTGCAGACGACTAAATTACTGACAGGGCCAAAAGGTATCCGATCGTACAGCGACTTTATGATGCCCGATTAACGACACTCCTACAACACTTGTAAACACAAGTTAAACAACTTAGACTCGTCTTGATACACACTTGAATTGTTTACTAAGTGTGTGCCCGGATACAACTGCAGTCAGCCGTCTGAACTTACCGTCTCGGAATTCTTACCTTCTCATGAATCCTCTGCATGAGAAGTAAACTATCGGAAAAATGGAGGGGTTGAAAAATATTGTTGAACTGTTCTCAAGTTCAAATTTTTAGACAGAGTGTTTCAAGTGATATATCGGTGGAGAATTCAATTCATTTTTTGAGGTATTCCTCCATTCTTGCTTATGTTTTGTTTTGTTTTAAAGTCTACAGACCCTTTAGTTTTCTGTTGTGTTTACAGGCCCGGTGTGAGGCTTGAAGCACGAGGCTGAGACTGCGTGTGAGTGCGTCACACACTTGGCAAGAGAGAAAGAGAGCGAATACCTCTGAGAAAGAAATTTGTCAGAAAGATGAAAGATGTCAAACCAAAGTGTTTGCACACACTACAGCTCCACATTGACAGTATGAAAGCCTGAGTCCAGACTCCCCCAGGTAATCACCAAATCACCGTTGCAAATTATTCATTCCACAAAAAAAAACCCATTTCACATATCTCGCACATCTCCTGTCTTAATTTCCACTGCTCGGCGCTGCTTAAAAAGCCAGATAACCTCTTGGCATTGTGACTTTATTCACTTTAAGAAAACCACCGCTGCATTTCAGCATGTCCGGTAGCCACCCCCCCATCCCATCTTCAAATACATCCCAATCATAATGCCCGCCCTCCAAGAACTCAGGGAACATCTCAGACTAAAGTCCATTCAAAATGGTCTCTGTGCGTCATTTCATTAACCCCGTGAGATCTCAAATATTTACTGTGACGGTGATTCCTGTCGCACACATTGACAAACATTCAAATAATGTGACCACCCAGAGGGGGTGAACGTCAATACAGAGCACAGAAGAAGACGCAGACACCAGACAAGGTCCCGTTTTCTTTGTAAGAGGAGTCATGTGCCCCCCCACCCAGCCCCCCACTCCTCCAGCCAAGCCTCCTTTCCTTTGATGTTGAAGCAGCTTCTTAAACAATGTAAAGACAACACACACGCACACACACATATGCACTGCCCCTTTTTACTTCCACACTGTCTCTGTGTACTGCTTGCACACCCCCACAGAGCTCTGCAGGGGTTGCGGAGGGTTGGGGCGGGGGCGGCCAGGTAGACTTCAGCAAACCCAGCCAGAAACTGAATGGCAGGAGTCCAAGACTTTTGGAGTTGTGTGTGTGTGAGTGTGTACCATATAATATAGTGGCCAGGTGTCAAACTCGGGGTACTCAAGGGCCGTTATCTTGCACGTTTTGGATGCTTCCCTCTTCCAACAGACCTGATTCAAATGATCAGCTCATCAGGAAGCTCTACAATAGCCTGATAATGATCCGTGATCCTTGGTCACGAGTTTGACACCCGTGATGAAGTGTGTGAGTGGAGGGTCTCTAACATTTTTGTGTCCAGGGATTCCTTACAGGTTGTTTTGTCTAAGGAAACCTACCACCAAATAAATATAAATACCATGTGAACAACTTAATGGAATGTAAATGAAAACGATGCTTATTTTCTGGAAAATGGTTGGAATGCTTTGATGGCATTTTAATTCATTTATTATTATTTTTTAAAAAGTTTTTATTTGATGACGATTACGTTTTTTTGTTTTCCATGAAAAAAAACAGTTGTTGTCTTAAAAGAATTTCGTTATTTTCCCAAGTGAAAGTGTGATCATACTAAGATGTGAAAGTCAAAGTGTAAGGAGGGATAAAAAAAATACATCTTAACAAGTGTATATGAAAAATACAATGTTGTCGTGGGTAAAATGCAATTTTATTCTCGAACTGTACTGTCCTTTAATTTTCTCCAAAAACACAAAAACAAAACACCTTTCCTTCTAGACTAAAAGGACTGCTGTAATAATGCCCCTTTGTTCTAAAAAAAAAACCAAAAAAAAAAAAGCAGTCTAGTCTAATTTATCTAACATGAAACAGGCTGTCTGGCATTCAGAAAATTGGAAAAACAACAGCAAGCGCCTTGGTTGCATGTTCCAACTCTCCCAAACTTCTTTGAATGTCCAACAACGAAACGAAACCTATCTGACAGTAGTTTCTAACCACCCAAACACACACACACACACACACACACACACACACACACACACACACACACACACACACACACACACACACACACACGCACCAAAATGGCTGATGCCCTCTAAAAATGGCGTTTAGGAGAAGGCCAGAAGAATCCTCTTATGTCGCTGAACTGGTTCTGCCGTCGCCTCATCATGCTAGCCGCAGCGTTTCTCGCGTACATCCACGTTATCTTGCCGGTGTTTTTGTTGGGACTTGTAGTTTGAGGGTTTTGTGCAGCAAAATGAGATATTCCAAACACTTCTTGCACCAGGAGGAGTATGTGCGCTAGATAAGAGCGACTCCTCAGAGATGAAATACGAAAGAGAAGCCGACGCAGCAATATAACTGCCTGTACCTTTGACTCGGTGTGCACTTTTTTTTAGTATCTTGCGCGCAAAACGTGGAGTGTTATTTTTATTTTTTTTTACATTGTCTTGCACTGCAAAATTTCAGCGTTTAAAGATTGCAAAGTTGAGCACCCACAAAATTCTACCATAGAATGCACGCGTACCACACGTATAATATCGTGGATATTTAATTTTTGCATTCGGGTCTGTAACATATCCCTCACGATAAACTGAAGTTAATTGTACCCGATGTTCTTGATCACAAAATTAGCATTATTCTACCTTGGCGGAGGTCTGCGCTCTACTTTCTACATTTTAGGTTCTGAATGTAAACAAAATGGCACCAAGGTGTGAGAGGCAAGCCGACTCAGACTTTGTGAACCAGGGCTGACATTGAGAGGCGGTCACGGCCCACGCCTCGGTCGTTCACGCATCTTGGGCGTGCACTGATTGACGCGCACTTGAGGGATGACAGTTCACACAAAGCGGACAGCATTCCACACATCTGCGTGTGAAAACACCACAACAATAACCGTGGGGTCACTTTTTTTGGAGCGGGGGGGGGGGGGGGATTTGCTATTTGATGAACGCAATCTTTAATAAAGTTCTTGTAAAATGAAATGTCATATTAATTTCACATACTGCAGCAAAGACGGTTGTTGACGATCCGAACAAATGTATCAAATGAGGCTTCAAAAGCATGAAAAAAGAAGCCGCTGTCACTGCTCTCAAGGCACTGTGGGTGTGCCCACTGGATACGTCGAAAAGCACACAGCGGCCAAAGGGGCGCTCTTAAGTGGCTGCCCTAGTGGACTATTTGAAGGGAAGATGCATTTTTTTTTTTTTTTTTTTTTTTAGGTGCAAGCTAGATAACGGCTTGTCGCAACTGTGCCGGTTTTCTTACATCCACTCGGTTTTCATGGTTTCGTACCAGACTCATCCACATGCCATTGATTTCTTGGAATCAAGCGCCCGCGCCATGCATTCCATGCACTTGCATAAACTTTTTTCAATGATCCAATGTTCCACTGTATAACGCATTTCGAAACGAATTCCTGAATTCATTTAATTTTATTTATTTTTTTAAGACACTTCCGATGATGCTGACTTAAAGTGGAAGGTTGGAAAACCAGTAACAAAGTCGAAACATAACCGCTAACAGGTGGAACAAGCACAATGTAATTGACATTTTTTAAAAAATGACAACGTTGTATCCATTTTTGGTGGGAGGAAAAGCTTACTGAAACGATGCTTGTAATTGAAGTATGAATGGCTGTCACTCATGCATGATTTTGATGTTTTGCTAGCATGTTCGACCCTTTGCGGTCTTCTGTGCGCTTTGTCTCACGTGCTTTTTTTTCTGTTGCTTTTCCTTCCGAGCGCAGTGGGGCTACGCCGACCCGTCAGATGGCGTTCTGCCTGGCTGAGCTGCACTTGTGGTCCACCAAGAGCTCCCTCCAAGTCCGAGGTACTTTTTATCATCATGTCGATCTCCGCCACTCGCTGATTGTCGTCCCCGGCGCTCCACTCCACTCGGCGCCTCATTCTGCCTTCGCCTGTCAACGCTCACTTTTGTTTGCTCTCCATCGTACGTTCACGGCGGCGTTTTCAGTCAACACCCCAGCCCGTGCTGCTCGTTGTCGCCTTCTTTGTCGTCACTTCAAATTCTCATGTTGCTTTTACAGCGATCAATGGTTTGTCAATGACGGTCTTGATTGTGTAGCGTGACCTCAAGCATCTTGACATGGAAAGGGGGGGGGGGGGTTCTGCGCGATCCTGAAAAAAAAACGCCCACCCCCACACCCACACCCACGAAAACCCACCCTGCCATATTTTAAGACATTGCACCATTTACTTTTTCGAAATTCGCTTTGATTCTGGCACTGGAATTTCCTTTTTGTGGTCTCTAATAAGCTCACCAAAACTTTCCGAGTGTAACATTCAAGTCTATGAGTATCAGTTCAAATGTTCTACTCAGTTGGTTGACACGTGCAATGGCGCCTTGCGCTATTCTTAAACTTTAGAGCACTATAATATATGACATTGAGTGAGAAGATATTTTCCCCTAAAGTCCACCCGGATAGCTTACATTGCTCATAAGCGCACCATAAACATACGTTAGTGGCCGTCCGTACGCTTGACATTTTCTGCTTTGACGTTCCCCGCGCTCGCCGCCTATCTGTCCCATCTCCTCCCAAATGCTCCGCTTCACCATTTTCTTGTTTTCTTTCCCTTCCATTCCGTCTTTCACAGTCTGCTGGACTCTCAGGGAAGATAGTGTGAATGTGACTCCATGTGTCCTGCGTGTATCCCAGCTGGCACGGCCACCCCCCAAAGCTTCTATCTTGCAAAAATGCGCCGGGATAAATCTCGGCAAAGAAGCCTGCTCGCTGAGTCGTGACGCACCTTTCTGTCAGCGTGTACAACCGCCTTAGCAAACAACAAAATACGATACAGATTTTTAACACATGCGCGCCCACAATCCCGATGTATTCAAATGGATAAGAATAAAGTTTCGCACATGGCAGCAGAAAAGTGTTTTAGAGCCGTGAGTGAAGACTAAGATTTGTAGATTGCCAAAGTATTTTGGTTCAGCTCAGTGTACTGTACTTTATTGTCAAGGGAAACTTGTCTTGTCGACGGGGTATTAAAAAGACAGCAAATACATTTTGAAGCAGTCAAGACAATTTTCAGAAAAAGGACACCATGAAGACAAGACCAAAGGTAGTTGTAGTTGGATGTCATTTTCTATCCAAGTTGTGCGTGCATATGTTTATGATATATGTCAGGCGCATGTGTGTGCGCCGTACAAAAAGAGTCTTGATCAAATTCCCCAGGTGTAAAATCAAAGTCATTTCCACAAATGTGAAAAACATTTTATAAGGTGAACTGTGAACGCATTAATGGGTGTGTGTCCTGTTGTATTTGCTTGACCTCAGCGGCAGCAGCGGCAAGAGTGGCTGCGTGATAAAAAAATGATGTGTTGGGCGAATCTCGACTTTTGGGGCCTGCCGGAATAACGCGGAGCAGAAAAATGCACAGATCAGCAATTTGTCTATCAGTGTGTGTTTGTCAGCTCGTGTGTGTGTGTGTGTGTGTGTGTGTGTGTGTGTGTGTGTGTTTTTAATGTCTACGTGTCAATTAGTCTCTCAGATGGGCCAGGATGGGCACACTTGTCTTTATTAAACACCTCCCCTCCACCCACCCGTTTCCATTCCAGCTTGGACCCCCTCAATCCTCCAGCAGCCCGCCTCCCTCGCCCTCTCTCCCCACCTTATTCCTCTCACCTCCCTCCAGTGGTCTTATCTAAAGCGCGGTGCTGGCAGACGGGACAGGCCAGTGGCTGATAGCGATTGTTTATCCCACGGTGCAAAAATTGCTGATTTGTCTTGTAGGGTTTTTTAAAAAATATTTTTATTTTTTTTACCTTGACAGCATGATGCTCATCTCTCTCTCTCTCTTTCTCCCTTCCTGTTTCCCCCTCCCTCTCTCGCCTCGCAGACACAGATATTGGCACGTATCAGTACCACGATAAAGCAGAGCCAGGTAAATAGTGTTTATATTGCCTCTGTGTTTGCGTTTAAGATAAGTTGTATTTGTGTGCGCATAAGATGCCAACACACACAGGTCTCGTATGCTTTTTTTTGGGGGGGGGTAGAGGGGGGGCGTCTTTGATCATTTTTGTACACACAGAAGGCCGTGTTAGTGTGTGGGATTTACATGCTAAAACATGTGCGCAGGTCGGTATTATTATGATGAAGCCGGGCCCCGCGTTGCCGCTGTTGACCCCGGGGGTCCTGCTGCAAAGCGATAGGAGAACTAAACTGTTGACTTTGTCCTAGATCTCATAGCGAGAGGCCCTCCTCCCATGTAGGTTGCCCGTTGTATTGCCTCAGGCTCGGAGGCTTTGCTCCAGTCCTAAGCACCCAACTTTTTTTTTGTGTCATATTAGTAGTGTGGTGGGTACATCTTAACCCACATCACTGATTGAGTCATTGGCTGTCCTTAATGTGTCACGCCATAAAAATATCTTGCAATTAAGACAGTTTAACACTTATCCTGATTTTGGGTTTGGGCTTGTGCTGTTCTTAGCACACAACAGTACATGAGCGCAATATTAAGTACAATACCAACTTGAACGATGCGGTGTTCAGTTATGGGTTTTTTTTTTGGGGGGGGGCAGCATTCCACCTGACAACAAAGACATAAATATGTAATTTACAGTAACCGATGGGCAAAAAAAAAGCATATAGTCACTGTATAACTGTACAGGAATGTGTTGCTAGTGAGATGTCACAATTAGCCATACATGACATATTCCATATTTTAAGTCCACAAAAAACAAACAAAAAAATCAAACAAAAGGAATTAAATTATAAATGTATAAATATGAATAAGCGGAGAGACATTTGTATGGATTTGGGCTTAGTCCCGTTCCCTCCCCCTGCCTTTCTCTCCAATCTACACGTTTTATTTTTAGTCTTTTTCAATCGAGATGTGTTTTCTTTCTCGCTCTCATCTGAATAGCCGCCTTCTTCTCTCCCTCCAATCTTCAGTGGAGGAACGAGGCTCTGCCCCCAAATCCTTTCATTTGGAGGATTACTAAACTGTGGCTTGATATCACAGTGCAGGGAGGAGGAGGAAGGAGGAGGAAGAAGAAGAAGCGTCAGCGTCCAAACGTATTGCAACATTTCCACAAGGGATTGGAACGATCCATTGCCATTGCGCACAGTCGATGAGGTCCGGGACTTGGATGTTTTCGATTCGTGATTAGTTTGTTGGTTAGCAGGATTACTCTTGAAGTTAAATTATTTCAACTTAGGCAAGGACCAAAATGTTTCAAAGGTCACATTTTGCTTCTTAAAACAAGTGGGGTTTTCTTTCTCAATGTGTCCGCCGGATCCTTTGTGTCTTATATGAGATTTCCCAAGCTAACAAAAGACACTGTTTTCGAAGTTCTTAAAAATGATCAATCAATTTATTTCTTCTATTTTTAGTTAAGTAGTTTACGTTCATAAATGCTGCAGCCTATCAGCCCCATAATGAATAAATTAATAAATCATAGTGACAAAATGTCATGAATATTAATGGCAATATTAAATTAATGGTATAGTGTCCTTGTGGTCACATTTGAATAAAAAAATCCCTCCAATTCGATTTTTTTTTTTTAAATTTGAAAGCTTTTCAAAGTTATTAAAAATGCCCCAAAATAAGAACGCATGTCAATATTACCAGATTTTTTTTTTTTTATGGCAGCAACTGCAATCTTCAACTGCTGCAAAGAATCTTTTATGCTGATTTGACAAGGAACATCAAAAATATTACTCCACCATAATACTGAGCCCATGTCGCACTTTTCCTTGTGATAACTTTTTTTCAATTTCATTTCCAAAATTGAATTATCATTAAAAAAAAAAAAATCACCAAATTCTTACATCCGTCTTTCAAATCTCTTAGAAATGCCACATTGTTGTCCAATTAAAGTCAATATTTTATTTTCATCAGTTCAGGTGAGGCGAGTAAATGCATGGCCTCTCCTTGTGGTCCCGTTCACATTTACATCAAAAAGGTCTTGAAAAGTCTGACATTTGGCTCCTTTAAACCTGTTGAGAATTCCTGTTTGAGTTGTTTGTGTATTTGACAGTCAAGCCCGTCACGCCCACTAGAGGGAGACTCAGGCTCATTGGAGCACCTCGGGGGTCCCCTGCAGCCACATAGCCCCCACCCAGCTCTTGCCTTGAGCAGGTGCCTGTGTCTGGGCCTGCCTGCCCCCCCCCACCCCCACTACCCACCCCACCTCCTTATCTGATTAATACTACTTATCCAGGAGGTGTTCCAAATGGGCAGCCCACCGTCTTGCTGGCTGCGACCCGGCCGAGAGGCGCCGTCGTGGGGCGCGCTTTGCCAAAACAGCCCCTTGGATGCATGGTGGCGTTTAAGCTGCATTGTTGGGAATGAATGAATGAATGAGTCATCTATTTGAGGGCTTCGGCAGGCCCCAAAACACCAATTTTTGCAAGCTTTTGCATTGTGCTGAACAAAAAAAAAAGTATTGTATTGGTCCGGTACCTGACCCACCGAAAGACTCACTCAGTAGCGCCCTCTGTAAGGTTAGAAAAAGTCAATCCCCCGTGACACCAGTTTCACTGATTAATGTAAAATTGGGTGGACATGTTCATTAAAACAGGATGCACAAAAAAAGTCACAAGAACCCATGCCTGAATTTTTCCAGGATTTTTTGACATTTTGGTTTGAAGCAGTCATTCTGGGGCCGATGCTAGGGTTGGGAAGAAATTGTACTTTGCCAAAGTTCTACTGGAGAACCCCCCCCCCCCCCAAAAGAGCCACAATCGAGAGCAGGTTTATTAGACTCATAAGCCTTTTTTGTTTCTGTTTTATTTTTTTTTGCCTACGTCACCTAAATGTGGGCAGGGCCTGGTGTAAAAGTTCAGGATTTTCCATGAAAACGGGGATGGGGGGCCTGGACTCTTCATCGTAACTTTAATTATTATTATTTTTTTTTCTTTGCAGCCAATCACCAGGAGCATCACTATTTCAATGAGAAAGCCCACTTTACTGAAGGTACAGTTAATGTGAATTTATTTTAATTTTTTTTCCCAAGCTGTATGTATGCAATTATTAGCATCTTGGGCAAATCACGTCCTTTTTTTTCCTCACCCTCCCACTTACCCAGTAGATGAATACAAACACCCTTATCAGGAGACGAACACTCATCCAGCTGCCCTCCCCCCTTGATCCCACCACGCCCTCCCCTCCTGCATTTACATATTGTTTACCTCCTCACACCCTTTCTTAATGGAAAACCTTCATTTTTATTTTGCAGATATTGCACCCCATTAAAAACAACAGTTCCTCTTTTTCCCCCGCTGTCCTCGCCATTGAAGCCGAGGTCGTTTCTACGCGGCCGCGAGCAGATGCTCAAATTCAATTATGTGTTCTGTTTCCTCTCGCCGCTCGGCCACTAGAGATGGAGAAACCCAACATGAAGGAAGCCTTTTGCACACGTGGCGATACGCGCCACGCCGAACGAGAGGTTGCACCGGGGAGATAACTTGAGTGCGCCACAATTAAGTGCGCGCGCGTCTCCTCGAGGACCCGTTTTTGAAAGGACGTTTGGCTACTCCGGGCTGAAAGCGGCTGACTTAACGCTTCCGCTAGCTGCTCTGGGGACCACGTTGCAGTAATGGAAAACCACTTTATTGTCGTATTGTACTTTTAAAACATTTCTTTTGCAGATAAACATACTTTTACACAATGTTTCACAATTATTTTTTTTTTGTTATGCACCCCCCCCACACCCCAGAAGAAGAAAATATTTCACACCCTCCCACCCAACTCTCCTCCATAGCTGTAAAAACAATCATTTGTCTCTAAAATTGTTCTAATATTCCATGTTCACTCTCTGGCAATGAGTGAGCCACTGCCACCTACTGCAGCAGATGTGCAATTACACTTTATTCTAGTATGACCAAAAAAAAAAAGAAAAACATATTTCCTGTTTTGTACAATATCTATTCTTATTCGGTGTGTTTGCTTTGGGCCTCTCATCCAGTTACTCTGTACAATCTCTTCTCTTACTTGCGAGGAATACATCCGAACACTTTCCTCTTATGCTGTGTGTTTGCTCTATACAATCTCTCCTCACGTCTTTGCCCTGCACCAGCTCTCTTATTTTGTAGGTCTTCTCGCTTCTCATTCCGTGAATTTGCTCTGTCCAATCGCTCCTCTTGCATGCAAGAAATAAATGTGTGAAGTGACCTTGTGGGCTTACAACCTGTATGTTCGCTCTGTCCAACTGCTCCTCTTACCATGAATCGATGCGAAAGACAACTTTTGCTGCCTTTCAGGGTTTATTGCAGAAATATAGAAAATTGCAAATGCGTCTTTTGATATTACTTCGGAATCTGGCAAATTTGCAACTCCAATCCACCCCCCACAACCCCCCCCCCATCCTGCATCTGTACACACAAGGCAACGAGCTGGGAATAAGCCGTCTGACATGATGATAGCGCCGTCATTTAATTGCTGAACATAATTAGCATTACTCCCATCTTTTCTCCGCATGGTTGAGTTGTCACCACCTTTTATTCGCCACCTTGACCCCGTCACATTCAACCTAAATACGTCTGGATTTTGTTTGCATTCTTCCCCCATTTTTTCTCTCTCTCTCTCTCTCTCTCTCTCTCTCTCTCTCTCTCTCTCTCTCTCTCTCTCGCTCTCTTTCTTTTCAGTTTCTAGTTGTTAAAAAGTTCAAGTCACATGATCTCCGGCATCGTTTTGTCTTCTAGCTCGAGGCTACTCATGGACTCCCGCCAATCAGCGTCCGGAGAGGCTCCGCGATTCCCTGAAGGAGCTGGAGGTGTCCGCCTATACCGTTCAACCCCGCCCCGCCTTTCCCCCACACCCCCCGCCACCTGCCCCTTCCCCTGGCCGTCGTCTTCCTCCCTCTGGGGATTTTTCGAGTTTTCCCTTTCCGAAACGCTTGATTGATTAACAAATAGGGGCATTCTCTCTGTCGCGCTACCTCTGCCCCTCACTCTCGCCATCATTCTCGTTTGTTCTCTTGCCTCCCCGCTCCTCTCTCATCACCTCTCTTTTGGCCCAGCTCTGTCATCGAGGGGGATATTTGAGGGGATCAGGGGACCCGCTAGCTGCCCCCTCATCCCTTCCCCTTCCTCCATCCTTCTCTTCCTCCTCCTTTTCCTTCCTCTCCCCTCATTCGCCCCACTACCCGCCCCCCAACAACCCTCACCCCTGTACTTGGGGCACTAGTACAGACCTGGCTTTGTTTGCTGAAACCTGTCTGTGGCTCCACACACACACACACACACACACACACACACACACACACACATGCGCGCACACACACACACACACACACACACACACACATGCGCACACACACACACACCACTCACTCGTAACTATTGTCTGAAACCAGAAACACCCAGTTTACCTCCACGCCCCATCCCTCTCCTCCTCCTCCGTCCTTCTCTCCACCCATCCAATCACCCCAGCAGGGTTTGGAATGTGGCAGGAATGACTGACATTACACACGTATGCACACACACACGCACACACACGCACACACCAAGTAGTCAGAGCAAGCAGTAGAACCTGTGTTGGCAAGTATCCGCTTACGTGTACCACCTGCACAGTGAATGTAAGTGGGTTTTAGAAATGTAGATGCCAAATTCAACTGTTAAAATATACTGTCCCTCTGCACTTACTTTGTCAGGCATCCTGGAAAGATGGGGTGGGAAACGTCAGCACCTCGCCACCAGTTTGACCGCTCAACATGAAATTGAGTAGACAGGACACGTGAAACAATCTCGAGAACCCAGGCCGAAAACGGAATGTACAGTTCAACATTTTGGTTTACAGCGGCCATTTTGGGGCATAATTCAAGGCAGGAAAGTTCGAAATAAAGAGCCGCCGATGCGCCAGTTTCACTGATTAACATGAAATTGGCTGGACTTGTTTGTCATAACAGCATGCATGGAAAGGTTCGAAAGACCCATGCCAGAAATGAAACCACAAGCATACTCCAGAGTCTCCACTTGAGTCCGTTAACTGACTCCTTAGTCTCTTGAATAAAATATACCTCCTCACCAAAGTAAAACAGGCTGAACAGCGCATTCAAATAGCATCGTTACTCTATTTTCACCAATTTCTTTGTCTTCCTATTGACAGTCTTGCGATCCAAAAGAAAAAAGAAAGTGATGATGATGCTTTGTTGTGACCCACTTTGGTCCGGACACCAACTGATTGTGACCTGTTTGTCTTCTATTGTCCATCTTTCATGCTCATTCAGGAACTGTTGCAGACCAACACCTGCGTTCACACCAGATGGAGGAACACACATTGTTGCCAGGTACACACACACACACACACACACACACACACACACACACACACACACACACACACACACACACACACACACTTGTGACACGGAATTGCCCCTGGTCCTCCCAGAGCAGGCCACAAATTAGTAGCTTCACTGCAGTTTGCTTGATGCGCTCCTTCTGTTCTCCCCAGTGTGTCTTCCCTACTCGAATGTGTCCACTTTGTGGTTTTTTTTTTTTTGTGTGTGTCTGTATGTAGCTTCTCCTTAGCAGCGGCATACTGGTAACCTTGACCCTGAGCGGACCCCAACTCGAGCAAGTGTGCATCGACCGAGCATTAGTGGGACGACTGCCAGGTGACACCGTAACTGATGGTGAGTGAGAGAAACACAGTGCGACCATAGCGCTTGCCTTTGACTTTTATAATTACGGGCCCTCTACTTGGAAATGCACAAATGATTTGCCGCGCAAACGCCTCAGAAGTCAAACAAAACTTCCCACGAAACTTCAAGTCGGTGAGCATTGAAAACGTAAAACTTTTGTGCTTAATTAAAGGACACGTGTTATTTTTAAAAGGACAATACTCTTGATGCATTACAGCTGGGGCCCACTTCCTTTAGCATGCTTAAGTCATTTGAGCACAAAAGTTGGCCAACCCTTGCCTTCAGTACCTTCATGTTTGGCGTGCGGTGTCCATTTTGATTCAGTGTCACTAAATACGATCCGTGAGTCACTTCATACTGTCCGTCTCATTGCGTCACCATGGCACTTGATGACTTTATTTAAAAGTGGTGCAATGATTGTTCCCGGCACACACACACACACACACACACATACACATACACATACACATACACATTACAGGTGCCACAGGTGAGCAAGCCGACTCTGCTAGCTAATTGCGGGCAAATCCTTTTGTGTAGTGCGTCCAGGGGCCTTCCCTTAAGAGCATCCATCAGTGTTTTTCCTCCATTGCGTCTACCTCCAGGGGGTCCCGCCTCTCTGCCCCTAACCTTTACCTTGCCAGCCGTTCCACGCCCTCGCTCAGCAGAGAATAAGCGGTGGCCCAAATCTGCTAATTATTTCTTTCTTTCTGTATCAATTATTTGTTCATAACATGGCCTCCCTGCTTGGTCTCAAGACACTCGATAAAGGCCCACTAGTACAATCACACACACACACACACACACACACACACACACACACACACACACACACACACAGAGTACATATGAAATGAAAGCTTTCTTTTCCAAAGACCAACAACTGTTTTCCGTGTGTGTTATGCTCACGCGCATAACACACATCCCCAGTCCACACGCACTGAGGGCCCACAGGTACGCACGCAGACGGCCAGCGGCCTACCGCTGTGCTCCATTCAAAGCCTCAGAGGTGCTAATTGTTCGCGTAATGGTTGTACAAGCAAGGGCCGGCGAGTTTGGATTTGGGGGGGGGGGGCCTTGATGATGGTGATTGTGTGGGTGTGCAGCATGTTAGAAGCGTTCCTCACATCTGTCACTGGTTAAATTAGCCCTCTTAGGTAATCAGAGGAGGAACACTCCGGAGTACACTTGCCACATGCAATTAAGACACACAGTTTATCGTTGTGTGTGCGCGCATGTGCCTGTGTGTGTGTGCGTGTGTGTGTGTGTGTATTGTGCGTTGTGTTTGTGCCATTCAAAAACAGCGCTAAAGAAGATGCAATATAAGATGATGTATTCTTTCTACACCAAGTTGTTTTTTTTTTCTGGAAACGGTTTTAATAAAAACAAACTTGTATTTTTATTGACCATTTTTTTGGTTTGACTTGCAAGCTTATTATTGCATCCCCTGGTTGTAAATAATTATTGTCATTTTTCAAGAAAAAAAAAAGACAACATTATTCAAATTGTATTTCTTAGAGAAATGACCTAACATTGTTAGGGGTCTTAATAAGAATAAAGTATTTTAATAGAAAAAAAAGACCATTTTAGAAGACCCTCGATTATGTTATTCCTGTGTGGACCAGATTAAAGAACGGAACGGGCTGTGTGTGGCCCCCGGGACATACTTTGCCCACGCCTGACTTCTAACACCATTTGTACAGTTACCGTTTGACTCTGTAACAGATTATTTCAGTTTCACTGGTTTCCTATAGGGTAAAATTGTTCCGAAAAATTCAAATGAATTGGAGGTTTTAATGTTCCCGCCATCTTTGTGTCTTCATTCAGTTCACCATTTGCCAGCTGCCCTTTTTGTTTTAACATGCTAAAGAAACAAATCTTTTCAGTATGTGAATGCAGACCATAATCCCGTTTCTGCGCCGCACGGATTAAACTAAACACCAGACTTGTTCGGAAGAGCCGCTCTGTTCCAGCCAGGTCCTCTTTTATGTCTCCGTGGTGTAACAATGCCGGATTATTCTCCTTTCTTAAACTTTGTCCCGCGCTCTCTGCGGCCGTATTTTCCGTTGCATCATACCGAGGGCTAGATTACATATGTTTGCCCCATCAAAGCATTAGTTGCGTCCTTTTTGGCTGACGAGCAGCCCGTGTGCGCCGCGATTAAGCGTCCTTAAGTGATTTTTCATAGCCGGTTTCATTTACTGCTGTTTTAAATGTGCTTTGGCTAAGCCCATTGGCCTCTTATGTCAACACGCTGCTCAAGAGATGGAATTAAATGGATTTAGAGGGGGATGTGCCTTCCACTGTGTGTGTGTGTGTGTGTGTGTGTGTGTGTGTGTGTGTGTGTGTGCATGCGTGCATGTGCATGAGTGAACTTGTGTAAAGTTTGTTTATGCTTGCGGGTGTATGTGTGTGCATTGTATATGTAAGTGTGTTGGCATATGTTGATTTTTGCAAACATGGCTGCTTTGTCTGCATGAATGCAGTGTGTGTGTGTGTGTGTGTGTGTGTGTGTGTGTGTGTGTGTGCGTGTGCGTGTGCGTGTGTTTGAATGGGTGAAGGATCATAGCAGTCTGGACTCTTAATACCAAATCAGCCACCTGGTTCCATTTTGGTCTTCTATCCACGTTTCATTTGGGCACGAATTTTCCTTTCCTTTTTTTTTTTGTTTTTGTTTTTATGTGTGTTATGAATAGTTTTTGGGGTTTTTTTTGTTTGTTTGTTTGTTTGTTTTTAAGAGGGGGCAAAATGTGCTTGAAGTGAGCACGTCTGCCTCATAGTGCAGAGGTCCATTGTTTGATTCCAGGCCTTCCGATGTGGACTTTACATGTTCGCTTGTGTGGGTTTTCTTCGGGTACTCTGGTTTCCTCCCACATTCCAAAAACATGCATGGTAGGTTGATTGGGCACTCTAAATTGTCCTAAGGTGTGAGTGTGAGTGTGAGTGGTTAATTGTCTATGATTGGCTGGCAGCCAAGGTCTATCCCCGCCTCCTGCCCGAAGACCGCTGGGATAGGCTCCAGCGCGCCCAGGTGTCGGTTTTTGTTTTCAGAAAAAGATGACAATCAAGCTACATTTTAAAACGCCGTCACATGACACTGAATCTCAAACTAAACCTGTATTTTATCTGATCCAAAAAAGAAAATGGTGAGACTAAAGTCATTTTTAAGTATAAACGCAACATTACGAGGACAAATACCATGTTTTGTGTATGTGAGTGTGTCAGCAAATGTTTTTTTTTTTTTAAACACAAGCATGTCTGCTTTGTGTACACGCGCCTACAGTGCTTATGTGTGTGCGTTAATCATGTCCGTCTGGACTCTTAATACCAAATCAGCCACCTGGTCCCACATTGGCTGCACAGCCTGCTCTCATAGTCTCTCCTTCATTTGGGAACCAATGGGATTAATCCTAATCCCGTTTATAGACACCCGTCGAGATCAAGACTAAACTGCCTTTAACTTGATGTGCCTTTAATCTATCACAAAGATGCTTAGTATACTGCATTAAACGTTCTGTCGAAAAGCCATTGCTCGCCTCTAACTGTGTATGTTCTGATGGCGTTTAAACCCGGCGGCTATATTGATAGTACAAATGCTCCATAATCCTAATTTTGGGCATACGGGGACAGTCGGGTAGTGGCTGACCTGGTTTACGACGCTCGCTCCTCCGTGTTTTCAAGCCCCTCCTCGCTTTTGGAATATTTGCATATTAATTTGAAATTCATTTGAAGTGTAATCATAGCAGCGCCCCTCGTGTATATAAATACACACACACACACACGCACACACACACACACGCACACACACACACACGCACACACACACACACGCACACACACACACACGCACACACACACACACACACACACACACGCAGCGTGGTTAATTGTGGGTTAGATTTCCAAATCTCGGGGTGCAGCCTTACTCATTCAACTCAAACCAGCATATCTGAGAGACATGTGTTATACCCCCCACCACCCACCCCCAATCCTCCCCTCCTTTACCGTTTAATTGCTTCCACAAACAGATTAATTTGAAGGAGAGTGGGGGTGTTTACGTGGGGTGGTGGTGGGGGGGGTTCTTAATTGCTAATCAGCGTTTCCTGCACCTCCTGAAGAGTTGAACAGGATTGAGTGCGTTTTCCACGCAAAGTGACACAAAAACATAAAAAGCCTCGGAGCTAGCTGAGCGGAACGGAAAAGGGCGGAGGAAGTAGAACGCAGGGAGCAGAGAAGTGAGGAGAAGAGGAAGGAAAGCCGGGAATATGAATGGAAACGAAGAAGAATAAGATTGCGTGGCAAATATCGTACTGCGTACGGACAAAAGTATCGGGACACATCAGGCCTCTGAATCGATCAGGAATACCCTAGCTAGCTTAACGCTAATGCATAATGGGAAACACGGTAGAATAGCTAATAAATAAAGCATTAATAATTGGTGTCTTCTTGTCTGTGTTGTTTTGTCAGCGGTGTTGGGCGACAAGCTGTTTGTGCTGTCCTTCCCGAAGCAGAGCGAAGTCTCCGCCATCTACCACAAGAAGATCCAGGACTCCTCACCGAAGACTGGCAGGGACACGGACAAGCTCTCACCCTCCACAATCAAGGTGCAACAGTGCCACGTGTCCAAATTGACAAATGTCATTAGGTAGTTTGGTGATGTAATGCTGCCTCAACCTGTGAAAATGCAGTTTTTATGGTCTCACTTTTGTCATGGCACCCTGGACTTTCGCTAGTAAATAACACTTGCCCTGTGGAAACGCCCTAACTGTCTCCTCCGGCCAACAAAAGCAATACTTGAGTTTGTCTGCTCAGTTAGAAGGAGTAAGCAGTCCCATGTTTTCATGGATTTAGATTTGCATTTTAAATTTGGATTTTAATGAGACAAATAATTCCAAAATTTAATTTAGATTTTGAATTCTAATTACCATTTGTTTTTTTAATTTGATTTGAATATTGATTTGAATTTAAACATTTCCATTATTAAATATAATAGTTAAAATGTAATTGAAATTTTGAATTTGAATGTTATGTGAGTTGAGAATTTTAATTTTTGAATTTGAGTTTCAAGTCTGGACTTTAAATTTTGAAAATTAGGTTTGAACTTACATTTTCAATTAAGATCTGTTTCATGCTCAATTTGAATTCGTTTTGGGATTTGAATTTTCACTGCGTTATTCGACATTTTGTAATGTAATATTTGAATTTGGATTCATCAAGCATTTGCATATTTTTGAGATAACTGTTTTCAATGGCAAATACTCACAGTATGTTTCCTCTAAATGCTATTTGGACTTTCACACCCAAGGCACCCCGCAAAAATCACTTTGCCATAATTTGCTCGTCCTGTTTGCTTTCATTTCTCGGGTTATTTTTCATCTTCCATTATTAATGTGGACTTTTGTTCTTTCGGGCCAATTTTGAGTCAAATGCATATTTTTGGGGGAAGCTCCACACGATAATGAGCTCTCCTGGCACATTTGGTTGTAGGGTAACATCTACATGCACACCCACACATGCATAAACACGTGAAAAAGCCACACTTCGTAATTTAGTGGATGATCTCAAATTGTCTTCACTACCTACACACAGCATACAAAGTATGAGAAGACGTTTTATTGGCATAGTTTGGGTACTAATGCTTGTTCTTAAACACACTACTGTATATAACCTTTGTTTGTACCCGCGAGCCAGGACACACAAAGCTCGCAATGAAAAAAAAAAGGACTGAGTGAGACAATTAGCTTAAAAGAAGTGAACTAAAGCTCATTTGAGTGAATGAACGAAGGACACATGAAAAAGATAAGCACACACACACACACACACACACACACACACACACACACACACACACACAGTGGAGAGAGAGCGGCGGAAAGAAAGGGGGAATAAATTGAATTTTTCAGATCAATGAGAGGTTTCGGGTCAAAGAGAAGAGCAGTCACTTGTGAAATCAGAAGCAGGATGTCAAAAAAGGCATTCCATGAACCCAAATTTGTTTATTACAGAAAATGTTTTGGTGTAGCAGGGTATGATCTGAGGTTCAGTGGTCCATGCGTGCGGGGCTGAATGAGAACGATGGCAGCCCCGTCGATGATAAAGGGAACAAAGTGTTGCCCAAAACTGCAGAATGGAAGATCACTGACAGATTGGGGGGGAAAAGGGAGGGGGGAGGGAATCATTGGGTTAATAATAGCACACTATATCTACCCTGCGCACACACCCTCTCATCTTTTGCTAGATATACAGTATATATATTTATATATTTGCTAGCGGTTGCTGGTCAGCAATAATCAAAAAGCACTTTTCTGCCGGCCCGGATTAGTTTAGCCCTCTCCCTCCTTCCCTCCCTCAACTCCCTTCCAGCTTAGCCCACTGGACCAGGGCACCGTGTGCATCTGGTGTGGAGGGGGGGGTGGGGGGTGTATGTTGCAAGCAATGTGTAACTGTGTGCATTCTAGGGCTGGGCGATTCATCGATTAAAAAAAAAAAAAGTTATTTTTTTATTTTTATTTTTTATAAATAATAAAGTTTACCGAAGCAGTATGTGTTGACAACTTTTTCCGACCCTATTAGCGGCTATTTTTCGAACTAGCGACATTAAGGCCATATAGCACAGCTCTGATCCATGCACACCTTAGCATCATTGTTATTAGCAAATGAAGGACTATGCAAATTATTTTGCTCATGTCCTGTCCCAGGTGACGAGCGTGGAGGTGGCAGGGTGGGCGCATCGTCTCCACCAAGGTGTGGCTCTCAACCAGCTGGAGGATGTGGCGCTCTTGTGGTGGAGGTCCAGTAATCACGACCAGGAGCTGTGGCCCTGGACCCACAAAAACACAGATGCTAACAACTTGGTCCTGCTCAGCTGCTTGCCCTGGGAAGGTCTCAAGGTGACAATTCTTGACACTATGATTCTGTCAGTTAATATATATGTATATATAAGACGGTATTCTTCCTGCCTCATGGTCAGTAATGAAATCCAAAAATTTAAAATCTGAATTCTAATTTTTGCGTCATGAAATGTTAGAATTTATTCACAATTGTCATCACTGGTGGAGTAGCCGTACACCTGACCAGGCCCTTAAGAATAAATAATTCTGACAGATGGAACGACTACACAAACGATTCAGTCTTCTTCTAGAAAACGAAAGAAAAAGCCTACTAGAACAGCTGTACTTCATTTGGGTTGATCAGAAACACTTGAAATGGTGGCAAGTGCCTGCTGACTCCCATCAACACGTGTTAACAGATCGCTTGTGCAACCACATTGTCTCGGTTGTTTTAATTTTACTCCCCCTTAAGAAAAGATTACAAAAAAGTTTGCAACGTACAGATTAAAAGTCACATTCATTGTCGAAAAAGTTTTGAAATGAATTACCATGGTGCCTTTTTTTGTTTTGCTTTTTTTTAAATCACAAAGGAGTGTGTAGATGTTTTAATGTCCACGTTGCGCACGACTAAGAATAGGCATGTGGAATAAATGCTGTCTCTATATCACACATTTCCCAACAAAATGAAGGTGTTACTTCCTCTCAGTGACGTTGATGCTGTTGTCGCCCAGCATCTGTTTATTTCCTTCTTTATTTTTGCGGGTACCCCGAGAGCACACAAACCCGACAGCACCGCTTTGTCGTGCAGACGCGCTTCGCGTGGGTGTCGGGATGTTCGTCATTTGTAGGGTGGCACCTCGTTCGTCGCACCTCCTTGCGTGGCCGCCTTGAATATGCAGAAGCGGCGGCTAAGCCGGCGCTGCGGCGTGAAGCGCGACGCCCACGCGCAGCATCCTCCCGCATGCTCCCGGCCTCTGGCGAGACTCCTCCCTATCAGCCAGTTGGCCCCGCGCCCTCTGAAAAAACATGAAAGATCCCAAATTACCGACGAGGGCCTTAACTCCACGTCGCACACTCTTAAATATTCACCTCATGGAGGCGAGAGCGAGGACGAGCGTGACGAATCAACACATGAATATTGAAATCATCAAAAGCAGATGCTGCGAGTCGTTTTTTTCTTCTTGTTTTTTTTTAAATAGCGTTTATCACACTCCTTCACCTCTCCGCTGTATATCCCCACCCCTCCTTCCTTTTCAGAACACGGCGGCGCTCTTCTGCGTCTAATGAAAGCATTTGTTGCCAGCTTTTTTTTTTTTTCAGATGCGCGGCGTGAAATGGAGCGAGCAGTTCACGGCGGTGACTTGAATCGCTCCCAGCTCGTGTATATGTTTCCCTTTTGTCCGCCGCGCTATCTGCCGCGCTAAACCCATTTTCTCGCCAGTCTCTCGCCGTTTGTAAAAAGTCTGATTTCCACTTCTATGTGGTCTTTATTCGTCTTCCATCTCGCCTTTCTGTGAAACACACATATACAGTACACACAGTGGCATGCGAAGTTCATCATTTTTATGAGGGCCCCACTCATATTTGGTGGAGCAAAATTCCGATTCATTGCCAGTTAATTAAAAAATACAATGGATAGAAGAATAAAATAACTGTACACAATCGAGATTTGAATCACAGGCAGAACAACTGATGATTGTGTACTACTAGTGCCACTACAGAGTTTTACTAGTTAACATTTAGTGCGTCACGAAAGCTGTTGGAGCATTTATTTCATATCGTAAATATCCTCCTTCAGGTTCACTTTTTGCCCTCGCGAGTAGAACAACTTTGGCATGCTAGTAGGGCAACCTCGTTACTCGTGAGGCAAACCTGTGCACTAGCTGACTGCTGTGTGTTATTATAGCAGTACTAGTACAGTGGTACCTCTACTTACGAACGTCTCTTCATACGAAATTTTCAAGTTACGAAACGTCTCAATAGGAAAATATTGCCTCTTGTTACGAGAGAAATTTCAAGACACGAAAGATAAAAATGCAGTGTGGCCTGCTACTCGCAGCTCTGAGTTTCCAGAACGCAACATACTTATAACTGCTCTACCATTGGCTATTACCTACCATCTTCCTGGGATCCCGTTGGCTAAGGGGGACCTCTACCGGATGTGTCTGAGTGTAGATAGATAGATAGGTGTCTAGGCAGCATTCTCGTCATTCGCCCCTCGGGCCATGAGGCGCTCCGATAGTTTTACGTAAATGTGAATCACCCAGAAAAAGTGTTCACCAGTCGGGCGATCGCTCATTTTTGAAGGATTGTTAAAAGCCGAAATAAAACCCGAACGTCCTTGGATCAGTTCTTTACAAAACGCCAGGCGAAAACCTCTTCTGAGATAGAACTTGGACTAAAGAGGGCAAAAAACGATGAGGACGCAGTTAAGTTAAATAACCATCATTTTTATTCTTTATTCTTTGTTTTTTACATTATGCACAACTCTCTGTTATTGTGCAATAATCTAATTGTAACGTGTCTTTGTTACATATTTTGATGTAATTTAATGCTTTAGGGAACATTTATGTCTGAATTTTGGAGTGGCCTGGAACGAATTAAGGCATTTACATGGAAAATGTGTCTCTACTTACAAAATTTTCTAGTTAAGAAATTTCTTCCAGAACCAATTAATTTTGTAAGTAGAGGTACCACTATATGTGACATTGTAAAGATCTACTCGTTATTATCTAGTGCTTCACTAGTAGGACTAGTAGCACGCTGATGTCAACGAGTTCAGTTTTGCCTCACTCATATCAAACAGTTGTCCAACTAGTAAGCCTGAATTGTCCTCCTGTAGTTGTGTGCAGAATATTATGTCGTGGAAGTAGTGGAAAAATAAATTTTACAGAGAGAATACTAGTCCATGAACCCCAAACCTGGATATCAACGACATGGAATACATGTGCCAACAATTTTTCTTAAGCAGCTATTCATATTTTCAATGATTCATTCTTTCTCAGCAGCAACCCTACCGAGACACACACACATGGTGCATTATTCCCAATGAAATATAAACAGCAGATGAATGTTTTCTTCCCGACACACGCGTTTATGTACTTTTTAACATTTTTTCCCCCCACCACTCGTTATCTGTCGCCAAACACTGTGCCTGCACTTGTTTGATCTCTATTTACCGTTTTTAATTACTATTTACTTTGGCGCTGCGCTGCGCCGCAACAAGAAACACCCTGAAAAAGACGATCCACCTTAAACCAAAACGATTCATTTGCACCGAGCAGGACTGGGGGGGCGGGGGGGCTATTTTCAATTTCTCCAACATTGAAAGAACATTTTGACGATACTGTACATGTTGAAATGTATATAGTAGTCGTTAGTGGCGACATAGCTTGTAGACTATTTGTCACCGTTTCACCATTTGACCCCAAAATTCAGATATTAAAAGGTGCCCCAGTGCACCTTCGTAAGACTTCCCATTCCCAATCCCCCCGCCCTCAGCAGCACCCCCCCTCCCACTTCCCTTCCCTGCCCATCCCATCATCCCTCGACTCTCCTCCAAGTGCCTCCATCTCCGCAGCTCGTCTCTCTTCGTCTTTCTCTGCTCCGTGAGCTGGAAAATTGGCTTCAAAAGGCCACTGCTGTGAACAAGGGCCAGCCACACAGTTGGGCCCGTCCGCTTTATCTTTCACGCCACGGAGGGGGGGGTTCGAGGGGTGGGGGGGGGGGGGGACGTGCCAGCCAGCGAGAGAGGAAGAGCGAGGGAGAATGGGAAAGAATAGTTTTGAGCAGTCACTGAAACCAATAAGCAGGCGAAAGCTACTTAGCGGGGTCCTCGCTGTCCTGTCTACCTCTGGTTTTTGCCTGTCCATTCTGCATCTCTGTCTTCGCCCTGCTTCCTGCCTCTCCGCGTCCGTTGCCACTTTGTCGTCGCACTTCCTCGCTCTCAGGTGCTCACCGGCGCGCTTGGCCTCGTTCAGCCTCGGAGCCGGCCGATGCGAAGCCTTTTGAAACCTTAAGACAGCTTTGAAACACGAAAGCAGGCTTGAAAGCCCAATTTCAAACACTAGCATTGGTTTCAAATCCTAATCTGAAACCCTAATTTCGGTGTGAAACCCGAATCTTGGATTCAAACCCTAATTTCCTAATTTAAAACACACCCTTCTTTTGAGACCCTAAACCAGGCTAAATCTCCACGTTTTAAAACTTAACCCTTCTTAAAAACCCTAACCTTGTCTCGCAGCCCTAATTTGAAGCCCCAAATTTGGGGGCTTGAACCCCTAAATTTAAAGTCCAACCCAACCCTGAAATCCTTACCCTTGTTTAAGATTCAACTTTTCGTGAAACCCTACTTTGAGATTTGCACCCATGTTTGAAACCCTAACATTTGCTTAAAACCCTAACTTGAACCCCAACCTTGATTCCAGGCCTTAATTTGGAACCCTAACATTGTCTGAATACGCTAAGCCTGTTTTGAAACTGCAAACCTGGCCTGAAACATCATCTTGGATTCAAACCTGAAACTTCACTTCAACCTCTAATTTGACACCCAACCTTTTTTCGAAACCCACTTCTGTCTTGAATCACTAATGAAACTATTGCCTTTGCTTGAAACCCTAGATCTAACATCCATCTGTCCATCCTCTGACCTACTTATCCTCATACAGTATTGACATAATTAAATACAATTAAAAAGAATGAACCATCAGTGATCATAGTGATTTGTTCTATTCAGGGGATAAAGAATATATGACCGAGTACTGTTATATTGTCTGTCTACATGTTGTTGCCACACCCTTTGTGATCAATCTGTTGCTTAAAGGCTCAAAGCACTGTAACATAGATGCTAATTTTGTTAGCGTTAAGCTAGTGGGCTGAAAGGCAAAGCTTTGTGGTTCAAATACAAGGTGTCATTCTCTTCCCACTGTATTTTTGTTTCGGCCAAGGATTTCTCGGTGATTCCACCCCATCTTCACACCGCAGGAAGCAGCAAGAGCCTGCTCTGGGGTGGATTATCGAGAGCAGAAAAATAATATTCACGAAAAGGAGGACAGTAGTCGCCATGCCATCGATCAATCCATGTGCAGGCAAAATCAAGGCCCTTCTTCTCCCTAAATCCCTTTTCGGCGCTGTGTGCCAAATGGGAAAACAAAAAAATGTGACACCGGGCAGCTTTTGTGTGATGCGATCAGTCTTTCACTCCACACGGCAAAATGAAAGGTCGTGGTTTAGCCAAAGCTGCCGTGCTGAGCGCGGGTCTCCGACGGAAGCTTTGTGGCCGTGCTTAAATCTCCCCAGAAAAGACGAAGACGTGTCCCGAGAAGCTCGGCCGAGTGACTGCGCAACTGTTGAGCCGCTCACCCGGCAGCTGATTGTGATCCAGGTGCCTCATGTGCAATCGTCAACTCTTTAGAATTGGATCATATTGCGCAAGGCTTGTTGTTTGTGGTCCCTCCTCGGCCCGCCGAGGATGTTTGAGGATGATGTTTATTTATCGCCCGCGCTCGGGGAGAAGCTGCGCTTGTTTAACCTTGAGTTTAAAATGAAGAGCTTATCATTGGCGTCCTTGATTGACAGACTGGTGTTTACCAGCATGACGCTTGCCCCTGTCCCAACGAGGCTTCAGGGTTCTGTTTTTGCTGGGTGGAGTTTGAAACACAGAAACCCTCATTTGAATTCCTACATTGGCCTCAAACCTTAACTTGAAAACGTAATGTAATGTAATCTTGAAACCCTAACATTTGCTTTAAACACCAACGTGAAGGCCTCAGACTTGTTTGCGCTCATCTCAAGATCAAAACCCGAAAACTGAACCTTAACATTGGCTGCCTGGAAACCTTCACCCTGGCTTGAAACCCTCGCCCACACTTAAAACCCTAACATCAGCTTCAAATCTAAAATTTGAAACCCTAATTTGAAACGCGAAACCCTGACATTGTCTTCTATTTCCGCAATTTCTGTTCAGGTCCTAAGCTCAACGCAAACAGAAGGTGATTTTCTGCTTTGCGCCTTCAGCCATTTTCAGCCCTACCAGCTGCTGACCGTGGAAGCGCCCGCAGGACCCCAAGCGTCCAGAGAGTCGTCCTGGGCTAAAGCCTGCATGTACGAGTCCACCAAAGGACGCCTGCACCGCCTCTCCGCCACCCGCATCCCGCTGCCCTCCCCCCCTGTCTCCTGCTCACAACACCCCAGCGAAAGCGCGCTCCTCCTGGGCCTCAGCGACTTGTCCCTGGTGCTTTACGACCAGCGTCGGGGGATCTCCCTGCGGACCTCCTGCCCTGCGCCCCCTACCCTCCTGGCCTGGCATCCGGCTGGAGCCTTGGCGGTGGCGGCGGGAGCGGCCGAAGAGGGCGAATTGATGTTCTTGGATCTGGGCCTGGCACCCGTCAAGGTGGCGTTGGTGGCCGAGGAGGTGACCCCCGCCGCCACGCTCAGACTGGCCAGGCACCTGCGCTGCCCGGGAGCCCTACGGGGACTACAGTGGGCTGCGGGTCCAGAAGAAGGCGCCGAAGAGGCGGATACGATGATGCTGGTCTTCCACGGGGGACTACTCGCAGCTTTGAGATTACAACTGGGTATGTAGCAGAGATGACACCACTCTCAATAGCTTGAAACCCTGAACAATGCCCGAAACCTTAATTTTGAACCTAAACCCAACCTTAACCTGAACCCAGTGTTTGGGTTTGAATCCTGATTTGGCACCCAAACTTGCCTCACCTAATTCCCATTCCCAGTATTTTGCTTGCTGTTCTTCCATCACTGTTGCTGCTCCAGACCCACTTTATCTGTGTGCAGGCAGAGGGCGGCTGGCTCAGTGTGGGTGGGCGGGTGGAGAGATGTGGTTGTGGAGGTTTGCGCCAGTGAGCTTCTTTCCTCTTATGGATAGAAAAAAAAATAATAACAATTAAAAAAAAAAACATAACTTGGAGCTGAGCCAAGTCTTTCTTCACTTTGTCATGTAGCGAGCCTTGTCAAAGGAGTCAATACAGAAAAGTGCGCACAAATAAATGACTTTCATTTGTGTGTGTGTGTGCGTGTGCATGAGTGCGTGCACGTAAGTGTGTGTGTGTGGTGGCGGCGGCGGGGGGATTATCACGGAGAAAAAGCCGTGCAGTCGCTTCCCTCATCAAAACGTTGGCACACGATCAGAGGAGGCGACGCCATTGTTGGAGGACACCCTCCCCATTTCCATGCATGCAAACGCATCGTCTTCTACCTACACACACGCACGCATGCATGCACATACGCGCTTGCTCTCTCTTTCACAGTCTCGCACAATCACGCGCGCACACACAACACACACACACACACACACCCGCACCCACCCATAGGCACAATTTCATAAACTCACACTCTTACACGTTCATTTGCAGTCACTTTCAAACTCCCTGACACACTTCTCGTACTCGTACACACACACTTTCACCACTCTCTTTCACTCTCACACAATATACTTTTCCTCACTCACACATACTCTTAGGCACGCACATCCCCAGTGTCTCTCACACACTTCAGTTTTACATTTTCACACACTTTCTCTTAACTGTCTCTTAACTTTTTTATGCAAACCCACACCAATCTCTCATTTGCATTCTCTCTCTCGCACACACACATGCACTTTCTCACACAATCAACACACTCATTCTTTCTCACATTGTTATACTTTCACACACCGTCTTACCCTCATTCATATATGTAATCCCATATTCACTCTTTCCCTTTCACACAGACACTTTATAAGACTCTCACGCACACTCACGCGCTCTTGCTGCTCTCTCACACCAGCACACCAACAGTCACACACTTTTTTTACTCCTTTCTAGGCACCGACATTCTGTTTGATATCTCTCTCTACGTGCCACACCCTCTCATGCTCTTGCTTTCACTTTGTCTCATCCATTCTCTTGCACTCTCTCATGTACATTTTCACACTTTTACTCTTACTCACACATACTCTCTCTCACACACACGCAAACACATACCCTTCCACACACGCTTTCTCTTTGTCTGTGTCTTGCTCACACACACTCACAAAAAGTTGCAGTCACATGGTCTTCGCAAAGTCACAATTAAAGAGTGCACCTGACACTCTTAGTGCGTGTGTGTTGCGAACACATTTTGATTGGCAAACTTTATCAAGGCCCCCGAGGGAGAGCGCAGCCACCGCGAACAATTTATCGGAAAACTGTACCCCACAACGCACCTGGAGGGGAAGGAGGGCTGGTGTGCGTTTGCCCACCCCGGGCGATTATTGAATGACCTCTGAGAGCAAGACTCCCGCTCACCTTGGCGTCCGTCCACAAATTAACTGGAGGATGCAGTGGAGCTATCGGGACCACCCGCAGCCGAGGAGGAAGAAGACCCTTAACAACACTTTTGTCTTGTCTGTTAAGATTGTCCTAAACCACCTTTTTGGGCTTCGAATTGGGGTTTCAAATTCGGGTTACAGACACACATTAGGTTTTCAAACAAGCATTCTGGTTTCTGTTAGGGTTTGAAGCCAGCATTTGAGTTTCAAATTGGGGCTTGAAATAGTGTTAGGGCTTCAAGTTAAGGTAGGGTTTCAAGTAACTAGGAATAGGAAGTGGATGATCCAACTTTGCCAACCCAGACTTGAAACCGTAACCTTGAAACCCTAATTTAAAACCCTTAGCCATGTTTGTCACCCTAGCTCTGACCTCAAACCCTAAGGGGAAACCCTATCCTTGTTGAAGCACCATCGCTTGCTTGAAACCCTAATTCTTGTTTTGAACCCTAAACCTGGGTTCATATCCCAATTTTAAGATGAAACAAAATTGAAACCTTAACCCTTGTTAACCTGAATTTCAAACTCTGACCTTGGCATTAGGCTAGTGTCGTATCATGTGCGCGCGCGCGCACACACACACACACACACTGCAGCAGATGTATTTACACACATTAGCATACTCTGTAGGGGATTTGGGGCTTGTTAATTGCTAGCTTGTCATTTTAATTGCCTCATCTCTCCCTCACACGCGCATACACACGCACACACAAATAAATAATCACACAGACACCTTCATCCATTAATTTGTCACTCAAATGATTGCAGAGGAACATTTTCAGGCTCATCCAATCAAAGCTTCATTTTTTTAACGTGTGTGTAAGCATGAATGTGAAGCACCCCCAACCACTCTCACACAATATACTTTTCCTCACTCACACATACTCTTAGGCACGCACATCCCCAGTGTCTCTCACACACTTCAGTTTTACATTTTCACACACTTTCTCTTAACTGTCTCTTAACTTTTTTATGCAAACCCACACCAATCTCTCATTTGCATTCTCTCTCTCGCACACACACATGCACTTTCTCACACAATCAACACACTCATTCTTTCTCACATTGTTATACTTTCACACACCGTCTTACCCTCATTCATATATGTAATCCCATATTCACTCTTTCCCTTTCACACAGACACTTTATAAGACTCTCACGCACACTCACGCGCTCTTGCTGCTCTCTCACACCAGCACACCAACAGTCACACACTTTTTTTACTCCTTTCTAGGCACCGACATTCTGTTTGATATCTCTCTCTACGTGCCACACCCTCTCATGCTCTTGCTTTCACTTTGTCTCATCCATTCTCTTGCACTCTCTCATGTACATTTTCACACTTTTACTCTTACTCACACATACTCTCTCTCACACACACGCAAACACATACCCTTCCACACACGCTTTCTCTTTGTCTGTGTCTTGCTCACACACACTCACAAAAAGTTGCAGTCACATGGTCTTCGCAAAGTCACAATTAAAGAGTGCACCTGACACTCTTAGTGCGTGTGTGTTGCGAACACATTTTGATTGGCAAACTTTATCAAGGCCCCCGAGGGAGAGCGCAGCCACCGCGAACAATTTATCGGAAAACTGTACCCCACAACGCACCTGGAGGGGAAGGAGGGCTGGTGTGCGTTTGCCCACCCCGGGCGATTATTGAATGACCTCTGAGAGCAAGACTCCCGCTCACCTTGGCGTCCGTCCACAAATTAACTGGAGGATGCAGTGGAGCTATCGGGACCACCCGCAGCCGAGGAGGAAGAAGACCCTTAACAACACTTTTGTCTTGTCTGTTAAGATTGTCCTAAACCACCTTTTTGGGCTTCGAATTGGGGTTTCAAATTCGGGTTACAGACACACATTAGGTTTTCAAACAAGCATTCTGGTTTCTGTTAGGGTTTGAAGCCAGCATTTGAGTTTCAAATTGGGGCTTGAAATAGTGTTAGGGCTTCAAGTTAAGGTAGGGTTTCAAGTAACTAGGAATAGGAAGTGGATGATCCAACTTTGCCAACCCAGACTTGAAACCGTAACCTTGAAACCCTAATTTAAAACCCTTAGCCATGTTTGTCACCCTAGCTCTGACCTCAAACCCTAAGGGGAAACCCTATCCTTGTTGAAGCACCATCGCTTGCTTGAAACCCTAATTCTTGTTTTGAACCCTAAACCTGGGTTCATATCCCAATTTTAAGATGAAACAAAATTGAAACCTTAACCCTTGTTAACCTGAATTTCAAACTCTGACCTTGGCATTAGGCTAGTGTCGTATCATGTGCGCGCGCGCGCACACACACACACACACTGCAGCAGATGTATTTACACACATTAGCATACTCTGTAGGGGATTTGGGGCTTGTTAATTGCTAGCTTGTCATTTTAATTGCCTCATCTCTCCCTCACACGCGCATACACACGCACACACAAATAAATAATCACACAGACACCTTCATCCATTAATTTGTCACTCAAATGATTGCAGAGGAACATTTTCAGGCTCATCCAATCAAAGCTTCATTTTTTTAACGTGTGTGTAAGCATGAATGTGAAGCACCCCCAACACTAACCCTCCACCCTCACTCCTAAAATACATCTAATCGGGTCAAAATGGATCATAATCAGCCTTGGCCATTCATCTAATGTTTGCATTTACACACGTGCACACATACACACACACACACACACACACACACACACACACACACACTGGTGCTGGCGGCTAGGTTGCCAGAGCTCATTGTTTCATTATTCTGTAGCCTTCTAATCTGCTCACACACACACACACACACACACACACACACACGTATGCGCACACACAACAAAATCAAAAGCGCAATCAAGCACCTCTGGTCAAAAGATCTTAAAACCTAACTACCGTACATATTAAAAGTTTGTTACCTTCAGCAATGGAAACTTGAAGTGAAATTTCAGTTGATTTCAGGCTTCTGCCTAATCAAACCTAAACCTAGTTTTCAAATCCAAACTCTGACTTGAAATCATAGCACAAATTTGAAACCCTAACCTATGCTTGAAGCTCTAATAAAAAACCCAACTCCCGGCCATAGAACACTGTTTTGAAACCCAAATATTGGCTTCAAAAGCTAATGTGATACCATTTGAAATCCCAGCCCTAATTTGAAACTGTACCTCATGTATGAAACCCTTATTTGGAACCCTAACCTTGGCTTTACAACCAAATTTGGAAATCTAGCAATCATATTTCATCACATCACGTGCATGTAATAAACTCGTTTGATGGGTCAAATTAACCTTTTTTTTCTAATTATTTTTTTTCTCTTTTCTTGTTCAACTTGTTTGATATTTTCAATTAAGGGCAGCACAGTAGTCGACTGGTTCGCACGTCGGCCTCACGGTGCAGAGGTGTAGGGTTCGATTTCTAGGCCTCGGCCTTCCTGTGTGGCGTTTGCATGTTCTTCCCGTACCTTTGCGGGTTTTCTCTGGGTACTCGGGTTTCCTCCCACATTCTAAAAATATGCATGGTAGGCCAATTGAACACTAAATTGTCACTCAGTGTGACTGTGAGTGTGAATGGCTATGTGTGCGCTGCGATTGGCTGGCAACCAGTTCAGGGTGCCCTTCGGATGGATTTTCAATTCACATTTTTTTTCAATGTATTTTCAATCATTAAACCAACTCGTTCGATCCAACAGCAAGCATAACATGAGTGCTAATCTGAATGTATGACAGGGGGCCTCATGAGCGGGTTCCGACTGGGCCCGGTGCAGCTCCTCCAGCAGCGTCTGCACGCCGGTCAGGTGCAGGAGGCTGTGAGCGTGTTGGAAGCCATGGACTGGGGCGGCGCGGCCGACGAGTGCTGGCAAGGCCTGAGCGCCATCGCAAACCACCTGCTGAGACTGCCTTTGGACGCCCGCACCGAAGGTGGGCTCCATCTCTGGCTTTTATAAACTTTATACATAAATTGATCAGATACATTTTTTTTGTCATATGTTTATTAAGGAAAATAGCACTTGATAATACTTTGTAAAAACATAAAAGTATAATTAAACTTAAAAACGTTCATGTCTTTCTGTGACTCTTCCAGTCTCTCTGGTGCAAACTGTCGGAAGAGTCACTTAAAGCATACTCTTTGGGAGTGGTGTATATTGTTTGTTTATTTCTGCATACAGAGCAACTAGAAGCCACGTTGGCAACATTTTACAGCCCGCCCGCTCCTCTTCCCGAAAACGTCACTGCAGACTACAAGGAGTCAGTGCACAAATATGCCAGGCGCTTCTTCCACCACCTTCTCAGGTAAAACAGCTTGTTCAGGTTTTGGAACACACAGCGAAGACGAGAACATTCTAGGAATTAAAATCGTCATCATTTTGCATCAGTTGTTTTGAAGGGCTTTAAATTGTACAAAAATGGCTGAATTTGATTACGTTGCTTTTTAACCATGACAGAGGTTTTTTTTTTTTTTGACTCACTTTTGGAGATGGATTATATACTTTTTGTGCAAAGTATTACATTAATTCACTGGAGTTTTTTTTGTTTTTGATTTGCGGCACATTGAACAAAAATCTGTTACTTCTTTCGTTTGAAAAAGTCACATTTGGAAATGCATCATTTTTTAAAATTAATATTTTCCTTTTTCCAAAACACACATTCATTCCAACACCATTAATCACCCCATGTATTTCCAAATATGTTACTTTCTATTTTTCTAATTTTAAAAAAAAAAAACAAAAAACTGTAATTCCAAGTTTTGTCACCGGAAGAAATGTTTATATGTATTTCAGAATTGTTTTACTTTTTTAGATATACATACTTTTGTAACTCAAAATGTTTTGCTTTGTTTTTTTTTTTCTTTCAAAAATGGAAATATTTATTTTGGCTCTTTTTCTGCATATTTTGTGGGGGGATTTATTGAAAAAAATCAATAAATAAATGGTGGTTATAGATTTAACATTTAAAAACTAAATTCATTCATTTTCCAAAATTATACGTCAACGTTGTTGGATCCCCCCGTGCTTGTACTGTTGTGACATAGAAAAACATTGTAAGTCGTCTTTCAAGTAACAACATCACTACTCGGGGCTGCAGGATTGTAAAGAGCTGCAAGAAGTATGGTCCAAAAAAAATCATTCCGTCAGAAAATGACTCCCATTTCAGAGGCGTTTCAAGTCGCCCCATCCTGCCGCTGATACGCATTTCAAACATCGTGCACCCGTTTGCGCCGTCCTTTCAAGCTGGCATCTGTCGGCGTTCCTTTGACTGAAATGGACGCTGTTGTTCACGCCCGCCGCGAGCATCTCCCCCTCCTCCCTCTCTTCCTGGTTGGCATCGCTCCCTTCTCCTCTCTTATCGCCCACCTGCATTCTTTCTCACTCCGTCGACATCAAATGAACGAGGACACACACACACACACACACACACACACACACACACACACACACACACACACACACACACACACACACGCACACACACACACCAAGCATGGCTTCCCTTGTTTGGTTTGTTCCAGAGTTGGCTCTTAACTATAGGAAGCAAGTTTAGCTGTTTGGTAGCCTGCTCTCGATATGTTTCAAAAGCTCCTTCAATGTCCTACAGTCTCTAAATGTTTTTTTTTTTTTGGACTGATGTTTTACATTTGATTGTCTTTTTTTCTATTATTTTTCAGATATGAGCGCTTTGAGAAAGCCTTCCTGCTTGCCGTTGATTTGCAAGCTAAAGATCTTTTCATGGTGAGCCGCAGTCATTTTCATGTGTGTTATTATGACATGTTAGCCAACAAGGTATATTTTTCCCCAGTGATACAAGGATAGTCATTGTTTTTTAAATTCATAAATGGCAAAGAACTCTATCTACAGCTGGGGACTGACTGCGCTGTACCTTTCATTGGGCAGCTAGCTGTTAGCAGATAATCAGCCATTAGCTTCCACTACTGACAATAGCGGTCCTTTTTCTGCATCATCTTGTGTTTTGACCATTTAATGTTTAGGTTTAAATTTCCAAGTGTGGGACAAATAAAGGCTATCTTAAATTTGATGGATTTTTTTGGGGGGGGTAATATGACCCCCCCCCCCCAAAATAAATACATAAATAAAAAGGCCTCTTGCCATAAGTAGGCACAATTTCCGGAAACCTGTTAATTATGACCCCCCAAAAATCTTGTGAATGGCAGCAGCTGCCCGCATAAAATGATCCACTGCAGATCGGTGACACAATAACGAGAGTTAATGACGCCTTTTGGACGTGTTCCCTCTCAGTCTGCCGCGCACTCATCTTCTCACTTGTGAAGCAGCAAACACAAAATGGCCTACAATAAAGGTGCACCGCCACCTGAGTTTCACATGAAGTTCAAGAGGCTCCGCTGGCATTGTGCGAACTCGCTTTCTTTCGGCGCTCCATTTAAGTTCGCGGCCTCCTTTCTCTCCATTTGCATTTGACTTGTAACCCATTCAAGTGTCGGGGGAGCAGGTGTGACGGACGCCTTTTCAGTGGTCCTGGGCTCACTCTCTTTCTTCCACTCTATGGTGAAATGCTCCTCCATGCAGCGGACCCCATCCCTTTTTTTTTTTTTAGCCGTCCAGGGCCCCTCGCTTTTGCTCTGTCTGAAACACTAATATGCAGCCCCGAGTTGCGGTGAAAAGGTGGAGCCTAGGCTGTGGACCTTGAAAGGGTGAAGTGAAGGGGCGTGTTGCGGAAGTAAAGAGGAAAGGAGGCGGGGGTGGGGGTGTGGGTTGATCGTCCCGCTATAAAGGTAGTCAGAAATGTAGGCTTTCTTAGATGGCAAAGATGTTTTGTAAACAACTCATAGTGCAAGATATACATACATTGGTACCTTGAGATTAAAATGAAAAGAAATGATGTTGATTTTCAGGGAATGAATTAATAAGTGCCTATAGTGTATTTTTTTAATAAAGATAAATAACATTCCATACTACGAATAATTAAAATAGTTTTCAGACTGCATCAATTCAATGGCCATTTTGCTGCTCTTTATGGTCTGCCTGCCATGGCCACCAAAACAGACAGATGGATGCACTATTCATTGAATCTCAGCTCCTCTTGGATCATCAATACGGCACAAATATTAGTTGTTCTTAGCAGAGAATAAAGTATATATATAACTGTGAGTACTGTTATAAAGTTCTGTCATCATGTGTTGCTACAGCGGTAGTTCAATCCGTTACTTAAAGGCACCACAACAAGAATACTATTTAGTATTACTAATAAATTAGCGGATTGAAAGGTTGAGCTTTGTGGGTGTTTTAAATACAGAAAGATAGTTTTATTTTTAGTTTGATAGTAAACCTAAATTGGGGGTGGCAAGAAGTAGCTTGAAGTTTTTTTTTTTTTGTCACTATTTCACAAGTGCTTCTTATTGTGAATTTAATCTCAGTTCACTGCCCACATCAATTTTTTTTTTTTATTAATTACATTTAAAAAGTCAGGCTTTCCCATAGTTCAAGCTATTATAACCTTACTTTTATAAAATTCTGCTCTTATTCTGAACATTGGTGATGGAGCTTCTCATGGCTGAGCGGCGTTAACCTCAATGGAAAGGGTCTTAAAAAGGTTCGCATTTTAGCCATTAACATTGTTTTCTTTTGTCTCAGTGATCAAGCGAGCAGCAAAAGTCAACACTGACATTTCACCCTTCGCTCTAATTAGGCTGTTATGTTGCTTTAACCTGCCGCTTGTCCGACGCTGCTGGGCTGGGCTGTTTTTTTGAGGGGGGTGCGGTTAATGAGGGTGCACCCCCCACCCCCCCACAAACCACCCCATCCTCACCCAACTCTTTCCGACTTCTAACTTGCCTGCACAACTCAATAACGCATGGTTGACTGGCTAAAATGCACACACACTCCACGCAGATGACCCAGCATGATACTCACCCCCCCTGCACCCACCGCCACCCCTCCCCGGGCACTATTGTTAACCGCTAACAATGGAGCTCCAAAAGAAGAAAGCTTTTGTTCAAGTGAAACACTTTAGTGTCGGCCCAAATTGAAGGGGAGGACGCAAAAGGTGGGGTCAGGAGTGTGTATGT